GAAAATTTCATCAAAATCGGTCCATAACTTTTTGAGTTATGTGGCTAACAAACAAACAAACAAACAAACAAACAAACAAACGCCGGCAAAAACATAACCTCCTTGGCGAAATAACAGTTCTAACTTGTCAAGTTTGCAACAGTTTCGGAGTTTTACTTCGCAATAAATATCATCATATCGTGAAAACGTAAACATCATAATCATGAGCCTCAAATATCGCTACATGTATCACTGATTAAGAAAGTAACACTGGAGAATAAAGTAAAGTGCAGAGAAGCGGGCGTGAACCGGTGGAGATGAAAACACGAGTTATTCTTGGCATCAAAATAAGTGATTAAAGATGACTCAAACACAAACACAAACTCAAACCCAAACACGCACGAATCACTTCAAATACAACTTCAGAAGGAGAATGAGAAGGAAATTATGACAAGTTTAAAAGGTCTGCAAGGTTAATTTTACAGAACAGATAAAAAATACAAACAAAAAATACTCCAGTAAAAGTATCAGCAAAAAGTATTTCTGTGCAAGCTCCAGATTTAGTGATTTTGATACAGATTTGTGCAGAATTTTGTTGAATCAATCTCTCTCTTCTCTAGCCGTTTTTGTGTTTCTTTGCTTAAATTATGAATGTGTTGAAATAAACCCTCTGTCTTTTCAGCATATAACAAATAAAATATACTTTTACTTTTCAATCCTACTCTCGAAATATGATGTAGTAAAAGTAAAAAAAGGATCCACCTTAAAACTGACTTAGAAAACTTTGCTACTTCCACGTCTGCTTATCGCTCTGTAAATAAAAGACGGAACAATCATTTTTGGGGTCAATATTTATCTTATTCTCTGCCCTCCCGAGGAAATGTGTGTTTTATTTCTGTTCTGCGATAAGATTTGAACTGTAGAGGAGTGAATTAACTTTCTCTGACTCATTATACAAACTAATAGTGCTGCATTCTGCGATGTAAAGTACTGCAATTAGAGAACATTTAGATTTAATTTTATAGTTATAATAAACCAGATGAGATCACAGTTTGATTCACCTTCGCCCTGTGGTGCACTTGTTAGCATGCTAGTTGTTGTTTGCATTATTGTGACGGCTCTAAAAGTTGTGAAAAACAGTGAGAGAAGAGTGTTTTAGTTTCACTTTCACTTTTATTTGACGTTTTTGCAACCTGTATCTGATCTTTTAATGACTAATTCTGAATGACACAGATCCGATTTTTTCAAATGTGACCCAGGACACTTGGATATGTGCTCCTAAAACCGATACATATCTGATCTTTTGACGTGCGACTTCAGTCTGAACGGTCAGGTCACATTCATCCCACCTACACTTCAGTCTCAGAGTCGGGAAAGCGAGGTTAGCGAAGTTTTTTAATATTCGAGGGGATCGCTGTATTCAGGAACCCAGCGTTTTTTTGAAATGATTGCCCAAGAATTGTCCGAGCGCGGCTACAGACGGTCCTGGCTCCAAAGTCGACGAAAAATAAAGATCCTGCGAGAAAAATACAAGGAGGATAAAGACTCAAACAAACGAAGCGAGCCGTGGACGTGTAACAATCCGTGTGTCATTCGTTCATTTGTTTTTCAAAATAAAACAAAACCAAAAAAAACAAACAAACATTTTCTTCATTATTTGTCTCCAAAACCAAAATGAAAAAACAGATAACGATTTGTTTTTTCAGTTTTCGATTTTGTGTTTAAATGAATAATGGAAAAAAACAGATAACAACCATTTCCCGTTTCCCGTTTCCGTGATTTCAACTGCGAAGCCTGACTGAACCAGGACTGAACTAGATCCGGGACTTAGACCGGGACCTGACCAGACCAGCATTGAGTCCTGGACCAGACCGGGACCAGCACCAGGACTTAGACCGGGACTGAACGAGTAATATAAGTTCTTAAAAATCTTGGCCAGATCAGAAAAATCAGTAAAGATGAGTAAAAAATTCATCAGCTTCACGGACCTGAAACCAGATTCTTGTACTGATTGACTCAATGTTTCGCTAAATATTAAACATCTATGAAAATACAATACAAGACAATTCAAATAAAAGACTAGGAGTAAGTACTAAAAGTAAAAGTAAATACTATCCACTCTCACTGTCCCCTGTGCTGCGCTCGTTCCCATACATTACTCTCATTAGAGCCTAATTAGCGCCGCGACACAGCTCCCCAAACACTTTTATAACACCGTAAACACACCGACTCTCTCTACGGAGCTGTGTGTGCCTCTGGTGAAATGTCCCAGAGTGTGGCTTTACAGATCTGTGGAGATGTGCTCAGTGTTTTTAAGCAGCGAAAAATGTCTGTGGTTGAATAAATGCAACACAGATAAGTTTAATCTCATACTGAGGAACATTCTACACAATTAAATGATAGCTTTAACTATTCCAACTAAATCAGGTCTAAACTAGAACTAAACCAGGTCTATTCTAGGACCAAACCAGGACTAAACAGGGTTTGAACAAAAGCTGTAACCCTGGAGTGAACTAAGACTAGAACAAAAGTAAACCAGGTCGAACCAGGAATACTAGACTTGGACTAAACAAGGACTAAACCAGGACCAGTGCACAACACACCACATCAAAGGAGAACAAGGAACTACACCTGGACTCGACCAGGACTAAAGCAGGTCACCAAACGATTCAATCACATCTAAAACAGGACTAAACCTGGTCTAACTCAGGACAAAACCGGATCTTAACTAGGTCTAAACAAGGACTAACTCAAGACTAAACCAGGTCTAAACCAGGGTTAAAAATAAACCTGGACTCAACCAGGACTGCAACAGGTCTATTCCAGGATTAAATCAGATCTAACCCAGTACTAAACCAGGTCTAACACTAGACAAAACCAGGACTAACCCAGGTCTAAACCAGGACTAAACCTAAACCTGGACTCGACCAAGACTATAGCAGGACTGCCCCAGGATTAAACCAGATCTAAACCAGTACTAAACCAGTTCTTTCCCCATATTAAACCAGGTCTAATGCAGAACTAACCCAGGTCTAAACCTAACAATATTCAACAGGACTAAATCAAACCTAACCCAGGAATAACCCAGGTAAACCAGGTCTCATCCAGGTCTCAACTAGATCTACACCAGGTCTAAACCAGGAGTAAACTAGTGCTCAAATAGGACTATATCAGGGCTAAATCAGGGCTAAACCAGGGGAATAACCCAGGATTAAACCAGGTCCAAATCTAACCCAGTACTCAAATAGGTCTATAACAAGTCCAAACAAGGTCTAAACCAGGGCTAAACCAAACCTAACCCAGGACTAACCCAGGTCCCAATATAACCCAGTTCTTAACCAGGTCTCTGCCAGGTCTAAACCAGGTCTAAACCTAACCCAGTACTCAACCAGGACTAAACCAAATCTAACCCAGGTCCCAATCTAACCCAGTCTATACCAGGTCTATACTAGGTCTTAACCAGGACTAAACCAGGTCCAAATCTAACCCAGTATTTAACCAGGACTAAACCAGACCTAAACCAGGACTAAACATAACCCAGTTCTCAACCAGGTCTAAACCTGGACTAAATCAGCTCTAACCCAGGTCTAAATCAGGGCTAAACGAGGAATAACCCAGGACTAAATCAAACCTAACCCCGTACTTATTCAGGTCTAAATCAGGTCTAAGTCAGGTCTAAACGAGGTCTAAACCAGATCTAAACCAAGTCTAAACCAGGACTAAGTCAGGTCTAACCCAAGTCTAAACCAGGTCTAATCCAGGTGTAAACTAGGGCTAAAATAGGACTATATCAGGTCTAAACCAGGTCTAAAGCAGGAATAACCCAGGACTAACCCAGGTCCCACTCTAACCCAGTACTCAACCAGGTCTAAACCAAGTCTAAACCAGATCTAACCCAGGTCTAACCCACGTCCAACCCAGGTCTAGCCCAGGTCTAGCCCAGGTCTAAACCAGGTCTAAACCAGGAGTAAACTAGGGTTAAAATAAAACTATATTAGATCTAAACCAGGACTAAGTCAGGTCTAATCCAGTAAACTAGAGCTAAAACAGGACTGTATCAGGTCTAAACCAGGGTCTAACCCAGATTTAAACGTTGCATTTCATTCTCTGCAGTGACTTCGCCATAAAACTCTAAGTATCGCCATAAATCCATAGGAACCACTTGAGCGCGCGGAGACAATGCGCAGTCCTGGTCACACATTAACAGCGCTATCTCATTCATTTCCATTGTGCAAAACTAAAAAAAAAAAAAAAAAAAAAAAAAACTCCGCCACGCACCGATAACCGAGGCACCTTTACGCAAACCACAACACCACACGCCTCAATCCCGCCGAGTCCGCCGTCAAAACACAACCACGGACGCGTTCTGGAGTGCCAAAAGTGCTCCAAATTACGCCGCGCTCGGTTTTACGCACGTAATTTCCAACAACCCCTCAAGGAAGCGAACGCACTCAAGACATCCCGACATGCTGCGACACGCTACGGGCACGGGCCATGCACACCGCGAGCGAGGAGTCCCCCTACTACTTTGTTTTTGAAGTAGCAGTAGTAGTAGCAGCCTAGAAGTTGTAGTATTAGTAGCAGTAGTAGGCTATTAGTAGTTTTACGCACTATTTTACGCGTAAATACAAGTGCGTAACCTGTGCACTTGCTCTTCTAGGCAGCTTAAGAAAACTTCCAAGTGTCGAAATTGATTTAAAATCGTTCGTGGAGTGCGTAAAAGTGCGTAAAAGTTAAAAGTAATGCATGTATGTGATGTTTTGAGTCATTCCTGCGCGTCAAAACTTGATTAAACTACGCATTTATCCACGCAACTTCGACCCAAACTGCATGATTTTTTTTTTCTTTTTTTTTCCTGGCAATCCTGTCAAACGAAGCATATCCGCAACGATTCCAGAAATGCCATCGAAAATTCCAACACTCTCCCAACTTTTTTTTGACGTAAAACAATAAGCATAGTTCGTAAATGCGTAAAACGCGTAAAAGCACCTTGCGCTTAGAAACGGAGCCGAGTTACGAACCTGATAAGTCGGAGGAGCACTCGGTGAGGTCGCAGAGCACGGCGAACCACGTTATTCCCAGCAGGAGCGTCAAACTAGCGGCTGAAGCACTTCCATCCGAGCAGTACATCCTTGTAGCCTCGAAGTTGGCGAAACTCTCCGTAACATTGAAAAATCCGGCTGTAAACAAAACAAAAAAGTTCGCTAAGTTGTCCGTAGTAGCGTAGTAGGGGAGATGTACGCTTCCATGTCGTCTTCCTCCTCCCTCATCCTCACGCCCGGTCTGTTTTCTCTCCAAAGCAGTGCACCGCGCCGCTCTGGAGGCGAGGGAGCGAGTGTGGAAGCGGTGGATCCGGGAATGGCGCACCAGGCGGCGGGTAAAAGGCAGAGCGTAGTCCCCCCTCCTCCTCCTCCTCCTCCTCCACTGCTCGGTGCGTGTGAGTGCTGCTCGGAGTGCGCGGTGGTGTGTTTTGGTTGTAGGAGAGAGAAGTGGAGAGGGAGGGGGAGCGGGTGAAGCGAGAGGGCCCCCTGCAGGACAAACGGAGGCACTGCGTCACTTCAGTACTATTAAAGTACATGACGCCCATATTACACATTATCTGTGTTATAATGTTATTTCCTCATCACAAACAGACCTGGAGTTGTGTTTTGTTTCATTCACACAAACAGAAAACACTATTCCATCTTGTGATGTCATGGCGTAATATAGGAAATGCTAGAAAACTAGAATCTAGAATTGTTTCGATGATTTCAGCGCTGGAATTGCCAATCTCTAGTGAAGGGCAAACCAGATATTATTGCTCTGCCTGGACTGATGATCCATCCATTTTCTTCTGCTTTATCCAGGGCTCAGTCGCAGGGGCGGCAGTCTAAGCAGGGAGGCCCAGACTTTCATACATACAATTTCTCCAGCTCCTCTGCAGGGACAAGGTCCCTCCAGCGTGTCCTGGGTCTTCCCCGAGGCCTCCTCCCGGTGGGATATGCTTGGAACACCTCCAGAGGGAAGAGTCCAGGAGGCATCCGGGACAGATGCCCGAGCCACCTCAGCTGCTCCTCTTCATGTGGAGGAGCAGCGGCTCTACTCCGAGCTCCTCCCGTGTGACTGAGCTCCTCACTCTATCTCTAAGGGAGCACCCAACTACCTTGCAGGGGAAACTCATTTCGGCTGCTTGTATCTGCGATCTCGTCATTACCTAGAGCTCTCCTGATGATCCAGAGTATCACGTTAGACATATCCATCTTGCATTTAATCAATTACAGATGAGTGGGGTTGCCTCTCCATAGAGCTGACCTAGTGGGGTCAGTTACTTGTGTCCATGGAGATCCTGGATGTTCGTCATTCTTTATTCGTTATTCATTAGTCGTGCACTGATCCAGCTTTTTCAGCTCAGACACCGATATCAATACGATGACTTCAAGTTTGACACGCTCTTCAAAGTGCGGCTGTACAGGCAAACGGGAATAAAGTGTCTTGCCCAAGGACACGACAGCAGGCACTTATCAGAGCTGTTTAACCGGCAACTCTCCAGTTACATGGTCCCTGGAGCCCCTGTCGGATGAAGGATGGATGAGTTTGTTTGTCTGTAGTGAAAAGTGAAAAAACGGTAAACACACTGTAATATGATATGACACCTGTGAAAAACCTCCACCACCAGTTAAAGGTTTAACCAGTCGTACCCCATCACAAAATAAATAAATAAATAAATAAATAAATAAATATTAATACCTCTCCCAAATGGACTTTTAAATTTTTTTATTGAATTTTATTTTATAAAATGAAGCACAGTACTTCCCACTCATTGACCATTTCATTCCCCATAGCCCCAAATGTCCTTTTTCCTCTTTTTCCTGTATATTTTGTTTTATCAGAAACAGAAAATTTTTTTATTTTTATGTTATTTTTATTTGTTATTATTATTATTATTATTATTAATGGATAAAAATAAAAATAAAAAAATAAATACATTTTCTGTTTCTGATAAAACAAAATATACAGGAAAAAAATAAAATAAAATTGAATAAAAAAGTCCAGGGAGAGGTATTATTATTATTATTATTATTATTATTATTATTATTATTATTATTATTATTATTATTATTATTATTACTGTCTTATTTGACAGCTGTCTCTTGCTAATATTTTTGCTATTTATTTAGAATTTATTATTACCATTTATATTTTATACTCTTTTGTTTTTATATTTTATTGTGATGTTGTTATTTTATTGTGAGCTACTGTGTCCAGATAATTTCTAAATACAGTCTATTATTATTATTATTATTATTATTATTATTATTATTATTATTAATGAAGAAAAAATAAATTAAAAATAAAAATAAAAACATTTTCTGTTTCTGATAAAACAAATAATACAGGAAAAAAATAAAAAATAAAATTGAATAAAAAAGTCCAGGGAGAGGTATTATTATTATTATTATTATTATTATTATTATTATCATCATCTTTATTATTATTATTATTATTATTATTATTATTATTATTATATTACCCTCTTATTTGACACCTGTCTTTTGCTCTTTTTTGCTATTTATTTAGAATTTATTATTACCATTTATATTTTATGCTCTTTTGTTTTTATATTTTATTGTGATGTTGTTATTTTATTGTGAGCTACTGTGTCCAGATAATTTCTAAATACAGTCTATTATTATTATTATTATTATTATTATTATTATTATTATTATTATTATTATTATTATTATTAATGGAGAAAAAATTAATTAAAAATAAAAATAAATAAATTTTCTGTTTCTGATAAAACAAAATATACAGGAAAAAAATAAAATAAAATTGAATAAAAAAGTCCAGGGAGAGGTATTATTATTATTATTATTATTATTATTATTATTATTATTATTATTATTATTATTATTATTACTGTCTTATTTGACAGCTGTCTCTTGCTAATATTTTTGCTATTTAGAATTTATTATTACCATTTATATTTTATACTCTTTTATTTTTATATTTTATTGTGATGTTATTTTATTGTGAGCTCCTGCGTCCAGATAATTTCTAAATACAGTCTATTATTATTATTATTATTATTATTATTATTATTATTATCATTATTATTATTATTATTATTAATGGAGAAAAAATTAATTAAAAATAAAAATAAATAAATTTTCTGTTTCTGATAAAACAAAATATACAGGAAAAAAATTAAATAAAATTGAATAAAAAAGTCCAGGGAGAGGTATTATTATTATTATTAATTATTATTATTATTATCATTATCATTATTTATTATTATTATTATTATTTTTTATTTATTTATTTATTTATTTTTATTACACACCTATAAATAAATACAAATTATACAAAGATTAACAAACTATAAAATTAACAGGACACAGCGACACTCTCCCGCCCTCTTGTGGACACTCTCCGTCATTACACAGACCGAACGCGCGGAGGTTCTTTTTGTCCCTCCGCGGTGCCCGTCCTCTCACATGTGACAGCGGAAGGTCAGACATGGCGTCGTGCTGCACAAACCTCCACAAATGCGCACTTTATTTACGATCCTTACGACTCCAGCAGCGCCAGCATGAACGTGAGTAATGCGGGAGTTTTATTTTTACCAGCGCACGTTTATTAATGCCACGGAAACGGAGGATTTATCAGATTTATGCGCAGGAGGATCAGACGTCCCCGGTCCCCGCAGATTTATACAAAACCAGCGATTTGACCCAATTTATACAATAAATCAGGATTATTTAAGTTTTATTTCAGTTTTAAACCAGTTCTAAACCAGGAGTAAACTAGCTCTGAAATATGACCATATCAGGTCTAAACCCAAGTCTAAACCCGGTCTAAACCAGGTCTAAACTCTAAACCAGGTCTAAACCAGGTCTAAACCAGGTCTAAACCAGGTCTAAACCAGGGTCTAAACCAGGTCTAAACCAGGTCTAAACCAGGTCTAAACCAGGTCTAAACCAGGTCTAAACCAGGTCTAAACCAGGTCTAAACCAGGTCTAAACCAGGTCTAAACGGTCTAAACCAGGTCTAAAATCTAAACCAGGTCTAAACCAGGTCTAAACCAGGTCTAAACCAGGTCTAAACCAGGTCTAAACCAGGTCTAAACCAGGTCTAAAGGTCTAAACCAGGTCTAAACCAGGTCTAAATCTAAAGGGTCTAAACTCTAAACCAGGTCTAAACTCTCCAGGTCTATAAACCAGGTCTAAACAGGATCTAAACTAAACAGGTCTAAAGGAAGGTTCAGGTCTAAACCAGGTCTAAAGGTCTAAACCGGTCTAAATCTAAACCAGGTCTAAACCAGGTCTAAACCAGATCTAAACCAGATAAACCAGGACTAAACCAGGTCTAAACGGAGGTCGAAAACCAGGTAAACCAGGACTCTAAACCAGAAAACCAGGTCTAAACCAGTCTAAACCAGGTCTAAACTGAATGACTGGAAACCAGACTGAAATGAACTGAAACTGGTCTAAACCAGGTGGTCTGAATGACTGGGTTTACTGCTCTTCTTCACATATTTCTTAACATGTCATTAAACGTTTTTACGCAGTTGTGGGAGCTTTTTTTTGACTCGACAATATCTTAAAAATCCATGCACTTTGTTATGACACAGACCTGACGTGGCATCTTCTTTTAAGCTTATTGTGTCTTTTTGTTAAATGTATTTATGGTTTATTTTACAAGAGTAACATTGTGTAACATTTTTGGTGGAGGATCCGTCACCTGCTTGTTTCTATGGATACATCATTTCTCATTAATAATCCACAGTATGACATTAAACAGCTCTACATTACATTTATTCAATTCCTCGTAGTTTTATTGCTCAAAAATACGTGGAAAAACAGACATTCTGACTGGGAGCGGGGTCGCCTCTCCCCAGATCTGACCTGTAATCTGGTCTGGTTTGGTCTATCTGAAAGTGGAAAGCTAAAAAGTCACACAACGCATCTTTAAGTTTGATGTTTCTTTCTCTCTTTATATTATTTACATTAGGGATGGGCATGATTAGTCGATTAATCGATAATTGATCATTAAGAATTTCATCGATTACGTTCATTTTAATCGACAAACCAAATGTAGGTTGCTGTGCGTAGCGTAGAGCGACCAAACAGGGTCTGTACGTGTAGCTCTCTGCATCAGAAGGAGCGAGACACAAACAGTGGGTCAGTCTGCAGCGTAAAGTGCAAATATGAATGATGTGCAATGATGATTTGTACAAGAAAGTCCACGCTTTCCGTTCGGGACAAGTGTGAGTCCATGTGCACAGTGGATAAAGCAGCACATATGTTTCTGTGTCCAGTGGGAAAAGTTTTTCCAGGTGAGAGTCGCTCAATGTGGATGACGAGGCCCCGCCCCCCTCCCCCCGTACGCTGTCCTGGTTTTGACAAACGCAAATCTGGTCACACTAACCTGTATTCACCTGAGTCATGTCTTTTAAAGGTTGTATGGAGGATTTTTTTTTGTTTCAAATTGTCGATGAAAGTTCAAAATAGAATTATAGAGATGCAGCAGCCTTGTAATTATGATGACCAAAATAAAAAGAATGAAAATCTATCAGCTGTGGACGTGGTGGGGGCAGATAAACATGAACCAATAGATAACAAGGCTACCTCTTTATCTATTGGTTGTTGGGTTGTCAACCAAACTCCTTACCTTTCTAGTGTCACCGACTTGCCGGGATGCGGGGATTATGTGGTTTACGTGTTTGTCTCTCACGCACTGATGCTGTTTACTCGACCAAAACAGCGGTTCTTAGCGTCTTTTTGGAACTGTAGCTTCGTCTCAGTTTGCACAAAGTGTGTTGTAACGCCGGACAAGAATCCACGACCAGTTCGCTGCAAAAGAAAGTCTGTTTTTGACGTCGCTGAAAGAAGAAGAGAAGGGGAAGAGGAGCGAAGCGCAACATTTGAAAAACTGTCACTGCGTTTCTCTTTGATTGGAAAATCTTCCATACAACCTTTAATCCAACAGAAATTGAACCACATCAGCGACACAAGAGCTGGAGTTTTATCTTCGCTGAGTTTATGCAAATTAGCGATGCAGTTTTAAGTTTCGTTTCTGTGAGAGTTGCGCAAAACTAAATTAAACACATTAAAATGTCAAACGGGCTGATGTGGCTCTAGAGTCGTTACGGTTTATATGTCGTAATGATGATAATTTTTATATAAAAACGTTAATGATTAATCGATAATCGATCGTTAATTCTTCCGACGATCGATTAAGAAAATTTCACCGAGTGCCCGTCCCTAATTTACATACATATCTTTGATTTATTTTAATGTGAAAATAATTAAACCCAAGCGTGTTTTGCGCAGGGATGTTGTCCACTTCGACGTGTTTTCTCTCTCCCGGGGACAAACCAGGAAAATTCATCCCTCCCTCCAAACCTGTGATCATCGACAAGACGCAGACGGCAGCGTCTCAGCGCAAGTATGAACCGTTACAACGAACGGAAACGACTAGAAATAAGCCTGTGCCGAGGATATATTGCATTTCCTTAACTTTAACATTATTTTATTTGTTTAATTTGAGGTTCCTGAGCCCTGAGTTCGTCCCTCCCCGACAAAGAACAAACCCGCTCAAGTTTTCCATGGAGCGGAAAGACATGATCCGAAGGAGGAAAGTCCTGGAGATCCCGGAGTTCTACGCTGGTGAGGAAAACCAAAATATTTCCAGCGTTATTTCTTCATCTCCAGTAGATTTGAGCTGATTTGTTTGCGTGTTTGTGTGTTTTTCCAGGGAGTATTCTGGCCGTGACGATGTCCGATCCAAACGCCAGCGGGAAAGTCCATCGTTTTGTGGGGATCTGTATCCAGAGAAGAGGGAACGGGCTGGGGGCCACGTTTGTGCTCCGGAACATCATCGACAACCAAGGTGACCACAGCCTTCTGACTATTCTAACACAACACAATTTCTTTACGTCTGAAATTTTATGGGAAAAAATGTAAATCTAACAAAGGATATGTCATTTCTCTGCCTGGAATGTTCCACGGTGTGACATTAAACGGGTCCACTTTACATTTATTCAATTTCAGGTGGTTTTATGGCTCAAAAATACCTAGAAAAACAAACTGACTGTGAGCGGGGTTCTCCACAGATCTGACCTGTAACTTGGTCTTAAATTTAGACTCAGACAAACTTTATTGTTCCACAAGGGACAGTATTTCCATATTTTAATCAAACTTTATATGTATAGCACTTATATATAGAGCAAATAGACAGAAGAATAAAACCTAAAGCTCCTAAAGTTTATAGTAAATAAATAAATAAATAAAAAGTGGAGAGCTAAAATTTTATAAAAACTAAGTAAAATAATAGTAATTAAATTTTAAACAAATCTAATAATAAATTAAAATACAAAATTAGTTTAAATTAAAAGCTAAATTAAAAAGATATGTTTTGTGTTTCCTTTTACAAATATGAACTAAATATGAACTACTAATATAATAACAAAAGAGTAAAAATAGAAAGATAGAAAGGTTTAAAGCCATACTGTGAAACATTCCAGACAAAGCAATAACATCTGCATGGAGAAAAGCATATGATGGATTTGAAAAATATGCCTAGTTTTCTGGTGAAGGTTATAATTTAACATTTAACAGCAAATATGACAAGTGTAGAGGGAACTCCAGTTCTTTAACCTAGCAACAATAATGTTAAAAAGAGCCAGAACGTCTAAAACATCTGTAGTTTTATAGATAGTTAAGATTAGACTCATAAAAATAAATGACTTCGCTGTGTGTAAATTGTCTCTACATTTTTCCAGGATTCCGTTTTACAGCTCAACACTGCTTCCTGTATTTTTGTACTTTTCTTCTCAGCCTTTCTTCACAAATAGTCTCTTAATTCTTTTATAAAACTGTGATAAATATTAAAGGTTGTATAGAGGATTTTCCAAGGAACGAGAAATCCAGCGACTGTTTGTCCTTTTTCAAATGTTGCGCATGCGTGAAACCCCCCCCCCTCCCCTACAGCTCCTACGTAGAAACACCTCCTCCCTCCTCCTCCTTACGCCAGAAACAGGTTTGTTTACAGCCGGTGCTGCACATGACTTGTAAACAACTAACTACAGTGTTGGTTAAGCAAGACGGAGAAGTGAGGAGCGGGGAGAAGAGCGGAACGGGCAGCGGGGACAGGAGCAGGAAAGGGGTGCAGAGAAGGTTGCGCGGAGATTCAGTGCGAATGAAGCTACTACTACAACACGCAGCAGCAAGTGGACTCTTTCTTTGCCTTGAAAATGACGTTTTCAGACATAGGATATCGCATTCGTGTCCTGAAAAACGTTTGTCTAACTCTTGGAAATAAGTACGTTTTCATAATAAGCAGAAGTTTCCTGTCCAGGAGTAATTTTGTGGACCAGTGCGTCAGTCTTTAGACCCTTCGTCTGCTTCAGTCGCGCCATCGCTGGAATGAATCTTCAAGAATCACCTTAGTTTGGCTTCGCTGCTTTTCCCCTTGTCTTCTTCTTTCAGCGACCTCAAAAACGGACTTTCTTTTGCGGCGAACTGCTCCTGGATTCTTGTCGCCATTGCAACAAACTTTGTGCGAACTGCGAGGAAGATATAGGTCAAAAAAAGCCGCTAAGAACTGTTGCGTTGGTGGAGTAAACAGCGTCTGTGCGTCTTGCGTCTGTGGACTGTGTGACAGTCGTACGTAAACCACGTACCGGCGGCGCAGGCAAGTCAGTTACACTAGAATCGTAGGGAGTTTGATTGACAGCCTGTCAGCTCACAGATAACGAGGCAGTGTCGTTATCTATTGGCAAATGTTTAGCCCCACCACGTCCAGAGTTGATGAATTTTTATTCTCTTTTTTTGGTTATCATAATTACAAGGCTACTGCATCTATAATCTATCATTGACAATTTGAAACAAAAAAAATCCTCCATACAACCTTTAACTACAGGTACTATCCTCCAAACCAAGAAAAACCTGAAAATAAAGTCTTATCCACTTATATACTAATATGTTTGTAAGAAAGCTCCATGTATGAGGGCACTTGTGTTTGTGTCCAGTGAATGTTACTCGTGAGGGAAAAAATACCTCACCAAACCTGAAACTCTTCTTCAGCTAAGCTTTTTAAACCTGTTCACTGACAAAAAAATGATTTTTTATTTATTTATACTAGACATTTCATGAGTAAAGCTTAAATAAACTGTGTGTGTGTGTGTTTGTTTCAGGAGTGGAGATCTGCTACGAGCTGTATAACCCTCGTATCCAGCAGGTGGAGCTGTTGAAGCTGGAGAAGAGACTGGACGACAATCTTATGTACCTGAGAGACGCTCTGCCCGAGTACAGCACCGTGGACCCCGACATGAAGCCTGTGCCAGCGCCCTCTTCTGGAGAAGTGCCTCTAAACAAGGTCACGATTACAGCTCGTGTCTCCATGTAGAATATTTTTTATACACTGTAGATCTTTTCTCTATGACTTTGTGTCAGATAATAAAAGTGTATTTCATGTTGTATTACGCAGGGGTTCCTTTGTAGACTGAGACCATGTAACTGACATGGGGCCTCCATTGCAAAATTAACTTGGCAATGATGGCAATTTAATATGTCTGGATTGGCATATTTTATATACCAACAATAAGAATCTGATGAAACGCGTTGGAGTTTGACAATTTTTTTTATGTTTATTAAGGACATCACAATCATATTAGACAAGCCAGATGCAGTGCTTTGTTGTTTAGTGTTTAGTGTTTTAGCACAACAACACCTGTCCATAGAAAAAAAATATAAACCACATGCATAAAAACAGAGAATACAAGACACATAAGTTACCTACAGGTAAAATATATACAGTACATTTTCAGTGGATGCATTTTTGATTGGAAACATACAATAACTTTCATTTCACTTTAAATTTGTTATTTGTTTCCAATTTTAAATCATCTGGTAAACATTTCCACGGTCTGGCCCCTTTAAAAGAGAAAGAGACTGACCAAGAGTTTTCCCGTACGTAGGAACAATGCAATTACCACTAGCAGCTCCTCTTGTGTTCAGTCTGTGTGAACATTTTATGGTCCTGCCAAATTATGAATACAATGGTGTATCACAGTTAAGACACTTAAAAGTAATTTAAGATGATTCAAATTGGTGAAATGATCCAAGTTAAAAAGTTGATGTTTCTTAAAAATTTCACAGTGGTGTCAGTGTCTGGGCTTTTTGTCAAGCAGCTTAAGGATCAGTTTGTAAAATGAACAGAGGGTTTCAGTTTGGTTGAGGCCTGTGACCATGAGGTGATAGAATAAGATAGGTTAATGAATAAGGGGAATATTCTATAGCTTGTACACATTTCCCCATAAGTGTGGCAAGTGGTAACCACCTGAAATAATTGTACAACCCATGTCCCAGCAGGACCAACAGCACCACCTGCAGGACAAGTGTGTACTACAGTACTACACTCATTCACAAAGTGCTTTTTATCACATCATTGAAGCAGCATGAATATTCCATTGTCCTGGCCAGTGATGCCGTCTGAACAGGTTTTGAGAATGAACTTAACAATGATGGTCATATTTTTCTACACATACCACATTTACATACCACAAGTATAATTAATATATAGAATTCATAATTATACGTGCCTCACATTTGCCCTTTTTGCATAATTTTCCTTGGCAAAACCTGAAGAACTGTGAACAATCAAAAAGAAATCTGATTACTCACATCAGATGGACCAAGATACATTTAAATACTCTGGGTATTTTTACATGCAAAATCTTATTACCTCCACCAAGGAGGTTATGTTTTTGCCGGCGTTTGTCTGTTTGTTTGTTTGTTTGTCTGTTGTTTGTCTGTTTGTCTGTTAGCAACATAACTCAAAAAAGTTATGGACGATTTTGATGAAATTTTCAGGATTTGTTGGAAATGTGAAAAGGAAGAACTGATTTCATTTTGGGGCTGATCCGGAAGAAATCCTGGATTCTGGATCACTTTGAAATTTTAGTTAACATTGTGGTAAATGGGGCCAAAAATTTAAGTTTCTCAATATCTCGGTTAATTATTTGACCAAACCCCATGAAATTTGACTCAGGGATGGACAATGGGATCCTCTTTCATATTCCAAAGGCTGATCCGGATCTGATCCAGAAGACTGATTTTATCGCAATTTATATAAAAAATGGGGGTAGTCCTTGGCGGAGGTCTGCGCTCTCTGACTGCTTTTCTAGTTATAGTCTGATTTCTGGAGATATCAGTGACACAATCTTCCAGTCCAATCCAACTTTATTTGTAGAGCACATTTTACCAACACAAGTCTCCAAAGTGCTGCACAGAGAAGGCATAATATAAACTAACACATTAAATAAAATAAAGCATAAAATAAAAAATAAGCAAGTCAGTTAAAAACATAAAAAATACAAAAATTAGAAAATACAAACATTTGCAAATAGAAAAATAGCAAATAACACTGTGTTAAAAGCCAGTGAGTAAAAGTGTGTTTTTAAACAAGACTTAAAAGAATCGACTGAAGGGGGCGCTCTTATTGTAAGGATAGAGAGTGTTTTAAAGTTTGGGACAGAAAAGGCCCGCTTTCCCCGGCTTTTGAGTCTCGTTTTTGGGACGACAGGTTGGAGCTGGAGCCCTCAGACCTCAGATTTTGACGATTGTTCTGTTGTTTCCTCAGATGAAGGTGAGGATGCGTCCCAAGCCGTGGTCCAAGCGCTGGGAGAGGCCCAAGTACAACGTCCAGGGCATCGCCTTTGATCAGATCCTGAGCCCCGAGCAGCTGGAGCACGCTCAGAAGTGGGCCCAGCCTTGGCTCGAGTACGACATGCTCAAAGAGTACGACACCAGCCGCTTGCGGGAGGAGCTCCAGGCCGAGTACGACAGGGAGATGGCACAACAGCCGTCATGAGAGCGGAGAGACGTGTCCAAAACTGAAAACAGGATTCAACACGAGACCAGAGCGCTCACAGACGGACTTATATTTATATTTACTGTGTCAAAGGCTGAGAACTGAATGAAGGACAGGGACAAACGGTTCATATATTTGGATATTCTTAAAGTAAACATATGCTAAATGGACTTTTAATGGTTTCTTCTCAGTGTTTGTTGAACTATGACATGCATAGATCATTATTTCCCATTTTGGTCACGTCGTATTTTAAGTGTAATATTGATTTGAAACAACTCAATTAGGGCTGAACGATTTTAAGAAAAAACTAAATTTTTCTGGCAGATATTTCGATTTCATCCACCTTTTTTTTTTTTCAAATGAAGTTTCAGTGCACTCGAACATTTGCAAACATCACAGAAACTTGCATGATACTCAAGTCCTGCACTGACGATTTGACGCTGGACCGTAAATGTAAAGATCAATTTACGCAGACAATAAGGGCTGTGATTGGTCCTCTCTACCACCGCTCCTCATACATTCTGTGCTCCACTTTCCTGTTTAATGCAGCTTTGGCACGTTTGTTTACATTTTACAGACGAAACTTAAAACCACACGGCTCATTTGCATAAACTATAAGCGCTGAAAAAAAAACTGCTCGCTCCTTGATGCGGTTCAGCTTCTGTCGGACTAACGCTGCGTTCAGACTGCAGGGCTTAACGCTCAATTTAGATTTTTTTGGTGAAATCCGATGTTTTTGCGACGTCGTTCACATTTCCAATTAAATGTGACTTGTCTGTGACTCCAGTGTGAACGTTGAACAGTCCAAAAGTGTTCCCACATGTGCACTGGAGACACGACGACGTCAACCGCAGCGAGCGTCTCTGTGTTTACGGAAGTTGTCCAAACATGGACGCAGCATCGAGCACCTGGAGATTTTAAAGTTCCTCTCGTACCGGAGCCAGAACATGAACAACTTACTTGTTTTAAGGAGGAGATTGAGAAGGAGAAGGACGAGGTTTTTGGCGTTTTGGTGTTTTGTGGGACAGCGGCAGCGACGTCTGTTGAAAGGAACATGTGGGTGCTAGAGGTGCGCGGATGGGCTACTTTTTCATCCGCAACCGCATCACAAAACTCATCATCCGCCCGCTGTCCATTTGCAACCACAGTTTTTAACCAGTTTTCAAAACCGCACCCGCCCGCCATCCACTCGGTCCCCTCCCATTTCCTCCGAGATCAGAGTTTTTTATTTGAGTAGTGAAACCGCCACCCGCCCGAATTTAATTAAAATATTATTTTTCGTCACGTCATCCGCCCGACTCGCGGTTTAGCCGCGGAGTCCGCAGCTGTAACCGCCATCCGCGCATCTCTAGTGGGTGCAGAGACGTAGCCAAGAGTGGTGAGTGGTGATGTGCGTTGCTTCAGTGACACAGAGTTCAGCGCAGAATAGTGACGTTTGTGGCTTGTTGATAACGTGTAGGTTGGATGAATGCGCTTTGGCCGTTCACACTGAAGTCAGGACATGACTCAGTGGAATATGAGTGTTCTTTCTGTGATAGAGGATGTGCTGCTGATGGTGAGTCTGTTCTGTGCTTCTATCGCGTTGGAGATGGTTCATGTTAAACTTTACATGAACACCAGGTTTAAATCCTAGCTTCCTCGCTTTGTGGCGGTGAATTACTTTGGTGCACATAAACCTCCACACAGACCCATAAATCAAAAATGACGGCGACAAAGCGACTGCGGCAGTGTGCATCAATGCAGAACCAAACTTCGCCCTTAAATTGGGCTTTAGGAGCACTGCAAAAAACTGTAGCTTTGACGCTCCCAAAATTGTGTTATCTGAGATCGCAATTTTCAGTTCAAAACAATAGATCGTTCGTCCCTAAACTCAATAACAGAAAGAGGTCCAGTGATACAACTCTGAGTATACTAAAAATGAGGGAACACTGTTATAACATGCCTAAAAGCTCATGAAAGTCTTTTTTTTGCGTAATATTTCCCTTTTAAAACTCACTTCAGCTTGTATTCCAATTGCACCCCACCTACCCCATACATTCTAACTGCTCTGTACTGACATTTTACTTTATCCCACTTTTCAAAATAATAATTATCATGTACAAACAAACTAAAAACTTCTTTTAGATTCTCAGCCTTTGACTTGCAAACTGTCGCAGCTTTATCGTTCCCACGTGTGCTCCTGCAAACACACGGACGCCACTGTTGAATTGTTTGTTGTTTTGGAAATGTTTGAAAATGTAAATAGTAATGAAACCGTGAACGCGCTTTAAACATGATTTATATAATAAAAGTCCAAAGGAAAAGATGTGTTTTTATTTTCTCGTTTGTTTGACTGAGGTTTTGTGACTGAGACCAAAGACGAGGACGATGGTTGGATGTTGTAATGATCAAAAATATAGTAATTTCACGTTAATACTGTTCTAATTCAATTTTTTTTATTTATTTAAAGGTGCTGTACATGATTTTTACCGTCTTACAAACATGAAAAACAGAGCTTGTTCCTTTTAAACAGTTTGCAGCGGTTCAAAGTTCTTCCTCACTTACCTTATATATTAAGAGCGTCCTAATTATTCACCATGACGAGTTTAAAAGTGCTTCAAAAAGTAAATCTAAAAACAACTAGCATGCTAACACACACTTCCTGATTATCGGACATAAAACTTATACAAGATATCTGTACTGGGACAAATTTTGCTCAATTACGTAGTAGATTTTTTTCAAATTTGTCAAACAGTCACATTTTTCTACAGCACTTTTCCACTTTCAAGGCACTCAAAAGCATTTTACAACAAGGAACCACTCACACATTCCCACACCGGTGTACACAGACACTGGGGACAAGGTGGGTTTAGTGTCTTGCCCAGGGACACAACAACAGCATTCATCTGTGGGAGCTGGAATCACAGTCAATCTGTGGGTCAATGGATCTGACCGCTCAACCCGATATGTTTATATCAAGAGTGGGATTTGAACCGCCAACCGTCAATGGATCTACCAACTGAGCTACTGCCGCCCAAAAGTGAAACCTGTTCTTTCACAACATCGGTAACCGCTTAGATCAGACATGCCAGACTCAGGCCCAGGGGCCAAATTTGGCCCACTATATAATTATATTTGACCCATGAAATCATATCAAATGTGTATTTTGTGCACTATAGGAGCTCTGGATTATAAGGTGCATTGTCACTGAATTTTCAAACCTTTTTCACATATAAACCGCACCGGACTATAAGGCGCATTAAATGAAACACAACAGTTAGATAAGTCAGTCAAACTTTATTTAACACGTCCACAATAACTCTCAACTTTGTTCAATTGTAACACTTAAAAAAAATCCTGTCTGAGACGCTAAATTGTTCGTGTTTTCACAATAACTCATAATAGTTCAAACAGTTGGGCGATTACAGCGTCCAGCACGTCCACATCCCTCTCGTCATTATCCGAGTCAGTGTGGTTCCTGTTCCCTGTGGCAGTTCGGACCACAGTTGATACTGATCCTTCGCCCGGGCGTCCACGATCCGTCGGCAGATTGTGGCGTAAGTCGCTCGGCGCTGTCTCTCTGTCTTGGTGAATGTGTGTTCTCCTTCTCTCATCCACTGCTGCAAGTGGAGCGGCTTTGTAGTCGTACTAAGACACCCCAATAAATTCATATATAAGGCGCTCTCGATTATAAGGCGCACATTAAAGGCTTTTAAGTGCGCCCTATAGTGCGGACTATAGAGACATTATTTATTTAAAATGTTATTATGTAATAAAATGATGTAATATATGATTTTATATTATGCTTGCTCTGGATTCAGTGTTTAAAAAATATGTGAAAAATGAAATGAAATTGTGAAAAATAGTTTAATAATAGATTTGTAACAAAAAAACTATAATAACCGTACAGCAAGTGTCATAACAATCATTTGAACGGTGAAAAATCCTTAAAATATCAGCTATAACAGGAAGCTGAAACCCATAATACTTTCCAGTTGTCTGCCATCTGTATAATTAGTCGTGTTTGTTGCGTTTTCCAGCAGGAGGCGCTGTTGGTCCACGCGTCTGTACCCCTCAGCGTTACGTAACAAGAGTCTGTGTCATGCCCCAGACCGACTCCTCTCCTCTCTCCACGTGAAATAAACACGCGGGTCTGTACATTGTGAGCGATCATTAGTGGTCAGGTGCATCCAGTGGTCCCTGTCTGCTCCTGTCTGCTCCTGTCTGCTCCTGTCTGCTCCTGTCTGCTCCTGTCTGCTCCTGCCCTCAATACTAAGAATACACGCTGTACTTTCCTTTACACGAGGCTCGTTCCCGGAGTTGTGTTTTGTTTCATTCACGCATGTTCAACGCCACAAACCCTGCATGTTTAGGCTCAGTTTTTCTCTCCGCTCCACCTTGTGATGTCATAATGTGGTAATGCGGGAAGTGGAAGTGCGCCAACTGTGTTTTCATCTTTGTCTCCGTACACGTTCACTAGAATCATTTGGATCATTTCGGTCCTGGAGTTCACAATCTCTCTCGAACTAAAGGTAAAAAGGCGATGTTAACTTGAAAAACTACCACTTCATGACATCACTAGGTAGAACAGAGCATTTTTTTGAGCATTAGAGATGTAGACAGACTAAAAAATAAAGCATTTCTCAAACATTTGTGACCGAAAAAACAAAAACAAAACACAACTCCAGGTCTGTTTTTGAAGAAGTTATAACATTATAACATGTCTTAAAAGTGCTCTGTGTCACTTTTTGGCCTGGAATGTTCCACAGTGTGACATTAAACAGCTCTACCTTACTTTTCTTCAATTACAGGTGGTTTTATAGCTCCACAGATCTGACCTGTAACTTGTAACCATACTGTGAAACATTCCAGACAACGCAAAAACATCTCTACGGAGAAAAACATTTGACGGACGCTCCAGCAGAAAAGTGACACAACGCACCTTCAAAGCAAAACAAATTTTGTGTACCGTATTTTTCGGATTATAAGTGGCACTTTTTTTCATGGTTTGGGGGTTTCCAGTGCGACTTACATGTTAAAATGTTTGAGTGAAGTGTGGAGAGGTTCTAGTCTTGTGTGTGAGTATCTGCTGCTCCTGTTCCTCCTGTACCACTGTCACTTGGCTCTACTGCGCATGTCTCCTGCAGAAAGAGCCTCTGTCCTGTCTGTATCATGTCAGTCGATCGCACCGTTACTTCTGCACCACTGAACGATTTAACATTTAAACAAACTTATAAAGACGACTGAGAAGACTGAACACAAATGCACCCGAAAAGAAAATCAGATTTTGCAGATTACAAACTGCAAGTCGTGAAATCTGCAGCTGAAAACGATAATCGAGCAGCAGAAAGAAAGTTTGGAGTGAGAGAGAAACTTGTGACAGCGGGAGGATGAACCATGAAACTTTCCTGAAGTCGCTGGATGGATGGACAAAGTCTGAACTTCAGTGACAACGAAACCATCCTGTCGGGATTCAGAAAGACCCGAATAATTCTAACTGGAACTGATGCTGAGTCTGACGACAGCGACACAGAAGAGGAAGCGGTGAAGCTCAGAAGTGACACCGAGGATGAAGAATTGAATGGATTTAGTGATTTGGAGTGAGATGGAGAGTTTGTTAAACTTGTTCTGTTCTGTTGTTTATGTTATAGTTTATCTGAAGAACTGTTCATATGTGACGTTAACGTCTGTTGTTCTCTGTTCTATTGTTTTTACTACAACTTGACTTTCAACAGAAAATGTCGGTTCCTGGTCAATCCGTGTATCATTTGTTCATTTGTTTTTCAATATAAAACCAAAAATAAGAAAATGAAAAAACAACAGTTTTCTTCATTATTTGTCTCCAAAACCAAAATGAAAAAAACAGGTAATGATTTGTTTTTTTCAGTTTTCAATTGTTTAAATGAAGAATGGAAAAAACGGATAACGGCCATTTCCTGTTTCCGTGACTTCCGTGACTTCAGTGACTGCGATGTCGGACTTCTGCGCCACATATGGACTCAACCAGGACTGGTCCATGTCCGGGACCAGACTGGGACAGAGACCAGACCAAGACCAGAGCGGACTTCAAGCTGTGACTCTCAGCCTCCGCCGGGTCCGAGCCTCAGCTTCGAGCTCCGGCCCTGCCGTGGGCTCTGAGCCTCCACTCTGGTCCCGGTCTGGTCTCGGTCCCAGTCTAGGTTTGGTCCCGGTCTGGTTCCAGTCTGGTCCCGACCTGGTCTCCGTCTCAGTTCCAATCTCGTCCCAGTCTGGTCCAGCCTGGTCCTGGTCTGGTCTTGGTCTCAGTCCCACTCTGGTCCTTGTCTGGTCTCAGTCTTGGTCTGGTCCTGGTCTGGTCAAGGTCTCAGTCCTGGTCTGGTCTCGGCCTCAGTCCCGCTCTGGTCCTGGTCTGGTCCCGAACCTGGATCAGTCCTGGTTCAGTCCGTATGCGGTGCAGAAGTCCGACATCGCAGTCAGTGAAGTCACGTAAACGGGAAACGGCCGTTATCCGTTTTTTCCATTCTTCATTTAAACACAAAATCGAAAACTGAAAAAACAAATCATTATCCATTTTTTCATTTTGGTTTTGGTTCTTATTTTTGGTTTTATATTGAAAAACGAATGAACGAATGATACACGGATTCTGGTCCCCAAAAAGTGCGAATTATATATGTTTTTTCCTTTTCATTTTTTGACTGGTGTGGCTTATACTCCAGAAAATACGGTAAAATACTATAGGATCCTTGACCATAGCTTGCTTCCTAACTGAAAAAACTAACCCTGTTCTGGTTTTCCTTGGCATATTACCTTCTCCGCTCTGGCTGGAAACCCGTGCTTGGTCTCGATGGGGAGTTCCAGCTCGGTTTGGTTTGGCTCGTCCAAAACCCTGGGAGCCGCGTTGAGTGTTGTGTCTGCTCCTCGTGTCAGCGGTGCCCATAAACAAGCCTGCGCTGTAATCTGCTCTTATTACAGAGGGAACCACAGAGAACCGACTCAAATACAGGAGACGCATGTTTACGGACCACACACGGACCGTACGGACAGAAACAAGCGGCGCTCTCATTACGCCGATCGCACCAACACGAGGGGCTGCTGTTAACGTCGTTTTACAGCTGGATTCCACACCTGCCGAACACATTGTTGTATACTCGCTCGCTACAGCTAAATAATTATAATGACATAGTCGGGTTAAAGAGGGGGCGTTACGCAAAGCTGACGTTTTTTTTTTTTTTTTTGGAGCTTTCTGCAACGTGACCTCATCAAAAACGACGCCCGGAGAGGTTTTAGAGTCAAAACTTTTCCGGCGAATAGAGCATTTTTGGAAACGATGGCAAA